AAGTAAGCTTAATACAGGGACTTTGTGGCCTTCACCAATTTGCCTAGCTGGTATCTGCACCACAGACTTCAGCCAAAGGGGAAAAAGAAGTGAAATTTAGTCCTCAGAACTTCCTCCAGGTATTCAGAATAAATCACATTGGGACAGATGAGGTAGCCCCAGCACCACCACAGCAGCTTCAGGGAAGGCAAAAAATTGCAATACTGATTTGGAGGAAGAAATCAACCAAATGTCAATGAGACATTCCTTCCTAATCCTTACAGAAAACGTTAAATGCTGGGGTTTTTTTTTTGCCTTTTTTTAATCTTCACTTAAGTTTAGCCCTGTTACAGTGTTTGTCCAAAAAAGTATTTAATATATTCTACGTACAAAAAATCTAAGGTCCAAGGACTTTATAAAAGGATTTGCTACATGGCTTGAAGGACCAGCCAGCAGAGAGGACAGGACTTGGTGTTTCTGGGCCTGAGGCATGATCCCCTACTGCCCAAGCGGAATGCCTCGGATCTGTGTGAGGCTCTGCATCAAGAGCCCTGTGCATTCCCCGAGGAGCATATTCCCCAAGAACACGTTCTAAGCTGAAGTTTTGCCTAACATCCCCGGTGGGTAATTTAAAAAAAAAATAAAATGCAAGAATTGTATTCAAAGCTTCAACTCTTGTAGCATCCTACAACTCATCTCTCTTTCTGCCTAAACTGTAGCTTTTTTTTTTCTCATTTGTAAAGAACACAGAGCATTACTTCTGTGCTTTTCTTTTGGCAGGGGAATTTTCAAACCAGGCAACACATACTTAAACTATATTGATACAGAAATTTCTGGGAACATTTCAAAAGTTGAGTTTCTCTGGAAAAATCATCTGGATCATGTACACGGAGGTTGCATGGGAGCTGAAGAAGTCAGAATAATATCTGGGGAAAACGGAAATATGTGAGTACACAATCTTAACGGTGGGATTCTGTGGGTCTGGGGGGAAAAAAACAGCAAACAAAACAAACAAATAATAGAAAAAGGGAAAAAATACCCAAAGCACCTTTGCATGGTATCATGACCCTTAAAACAAGTAGGTTTAAGCACTGAAAATAAGGGCCTAATCCAAATTTCGTGGCAGTACCTGGGTGTTTGGCTGACTATGGTTACTCCCACCAGCTCAGCACTGCAGCCAGACTTCCCCAAAGAACAGAGATATCAAATCTGAAATCCTATGGGGGTGTAGCCCTGAACTTCTAAGAAAGGTTTTTCTCTTAAATTGCTGTTTCATGTGCCTACATCTCCATGAACATGTAGCACAGCACATCAGAACCAGCTCTGCACAGTGCCACAGCACGCTTGCCTTGGCAGGGCACTTTGGGCTAACTCCTGCCCGACCCCAGGGACCAGGCACCCACCAGCCCCTGCAGTACGTTATGTTCAGTTCTGGAGCACACCTCTTGGTTTAGTTTTAACCAAAGTAAATTCAGCTGATGTGTCCTGACACCGCTCTGTCATGTAAACCAAAGTGTGGTAAGTGGAGAAAACGAGTGAGAGATTCCTTTCAAAAGTGCACTCCTCGTCCAAATTAAAATGCTGATGGAGTCTGAGCATAAAGGCAAACACATCTTACAATTTAATAATTAGTCACTAACAAGTAATTCTTTAAAACATCATTTGATAACACACACTTCTTGTTCTGTCTACTAGAACTCATGCTTTGACCTAACATGGAATAAAAATAGGATTTATATTGATTATCTTGGGCTGCTGCTAAGAAAATGTCCCACTGTGCTGAATAATATTTCCTCAAACTCTTCCTCCCTTGCCAGGTCTGTGTTCTGCAGCTGTGGAACTGTGCAGCCGAGCATGTGGCAAGCCCTGGCGCTTTGCTGAGGCTCACCGAGCAATGCCGAGGTTGTCCACCATGGCAACCCTACCGACTGCAAGAGGACACTTCTTCAGTCAGCAGCAAACTAGTAACAAGGCTCCTTCAATAAATTATGAAAAGAATGCCCAGCCCACTCCAAAACCTCTATTTCCAAATGAGCATTGTAAGTTTTTCTCGATACAGTGGAATTACACTTCTGTGAATTCCAGTCACAATGACAGCTAACATGTACTTTACTAGAAACGCACACATGCAGTGTGATTATATTTCAGAGTCAAGGAGGAAAATAATGAAATAGGAAAAAAAGTCCTACCCAGTTCCCCACTGAAATACACTTAATTATCTCAGGACGAGCATCCAAAAAGAAGCAACAATAACAAAAAAAAAAAAAAAAGATGGGGGAAAAAGAAAAAAGAAAGAAAGAAAGAAAGAAGATGACAAAAAGAAAGAAGAAAAAAAGAAAAATAAAGAAAAATAAAAAGGGGGAAAGAAAAGAAAAAAGGGGCATAGACAGCTAAATTCTCTAATAGTACCTACTTACTTGTTCAGGAAAAGGACATTTTCATGCTTTCAGAAGCATCTGATTGCTTCTATCTCAGGAGACTGAGGAATAACTTTAAATATAAAAATAATCAGGGTTTGAATGGTGTTGCCTGATGTCCTTTCTTCCTGAAGAACACATTTAAACAACGTTTTAGCAGCATATCCAAAAGACTGCTTAGGAGCTGGGACTGCATACCAAGTGGTACAGTAGACCTTGAGAAACTCTACCATCAAAGTTCACCATGTGCCAAGCAGGACGGCTCAATGTACCGCAAAATATTTGATTGTTGCTTTTTTCCTGGGGAAGAACTCATTGATGTGCTCTATTCGGCTCTGCTGAACACTGGGTGAGCTGGGATTCTTTGTCCATACCTGAAACAGGCATCTTTTTTATCAAAACTATGTTGCACTATTGAGGATCTTCAATTTTCTGGCAGCCTTCAAAGCAACTATTTTTACTGGTGAAGCTGAATTTTCCTCCTCTGCCTTGCCTTTCTGAAGCCACTGAAGTTGGGCCTGAGCTGTGTTATTTGCATTACTACATGGCATTGCCCCCCCAAAATTTTGGCAGCTTTTTGATCATACTGGTTAACAAAAACAGACTACTAACAGTTATCAGCATCAGCCAAAATAAGCTAAGATTGTTTCTGTTTTAATACACACTACCCACAAAAATCCTTTCAGGTTTTAATTGCCCACTGAGGTCTAAGACTTATAGCTAATTTTTAAATCCAATGTGAGGTTTATCATTTGGGTGCAGAAATCCTGTGTGTGAATCACATTGGGCAACTCTGTTATGTCCCATCCAAACAACTCGCTATTCCAGAACACTTCCAGTGAGATTTACCAGAAGGTGTTAATGAGATGCGTTACACAAGGTTGAATGAGTGTTGAACAGGTGTTTCAAAATATACAGCAATAATTTTGAGATGTCAGAAGCCAGTCACCTCCTATGAAGTCTGCCAGAGGAGCTTGCTTAGGAGGTTTGCGGCAAGCTGACAAAGCAGCTGTCTATCTTCGCAGACTCACTGCTTCAGTAGCCTTAACCTCTCCACCCATGCAGAGTAGGATCCAGACACCATCCTGAGCAGGGAACTCATCCTCCTCTACCCCTTGGGGAAACTCCTTAGGCAAGACCCCCTTCTTGCGTAAGTAGGGACTCCCCTCTTCTGTGCTCCCTGGAGAAGTACAAAACAAGCCCCTGGGTACTTCAGCACAGTTGGGAAATATTTGTAGCTAGTAATTACACCATCTTTAACATCCTTCATAATTCAGGCATGGCTCTCTGCCCCACAGTTGCACACATAAAGGAGACTCAGGGAGGGAAAAAGGCGGACTTATTTTCCCTTTCTTACAGTCTTTCTTACAGCTGAAGCAAAAGAAATTTAAGTATTTTCTCAGGGTCACAAAAAAACGTGCAGCAGGGCCAGGCACTGGGTTGGGTCGTCGGATTTCATGATATGAGACAGCAGTGCGAGCAGTGCAACGTAGGCCACCGCTTCCCCCAAGAAGGAAGCAATGTTCTGTTGAACTCAAGATTTCTATAAAGCCCATCCCTTCCAGCCTCCATACTTGGCTGTGCCACTTTTGCAATTCTAAAAATAAATTTGATGGGTTTATGAGTAATAAATCACATTACTACTTTTGACAATACAAGATTTCATTTTGCTTAATTTTAAACTATTGATTTCAACAGCATTCTGACAAAACATAACAGCTCATATGGGCTGATGAATTCTGCTACAAATGTCATCCAGCTGATTAGACCACTTAAAAATATGCATTTTCTCACCCAATCAGTTCAGCTAAAAATAAAATAGAGCATTCATTTCTTCCCCTTGTGTTGTTCTGTTTTCTGTTTTTGTCATGTACTGTTTCTTGAGCTAATTTTCATTCTTTGGTAAACATCAACACTGCACTTTGCTAATACATCTATAGACAGAGCAAGAGAGATTTATTTTTATGAGCTAAAAGTGAAAAAAACCATTGACAGCAGATCTGTGTTACTGGTAGCAAACAGTCTTCCTCCTGTGTCCTTCTGTATTTAAAAAAGAAAACTGTTTGAAACCTTTGGATACTATCAGTTTGTATTGATGGAGCTCGTCCAAAAAACGCAAGGGTTTGATATTTGGCAAGATGATCTGCCATTGACAAAGACTGCAACAGGTAATTCTTTCATAGCTCCACAACAAGCCAGCTTTTTAGAACAATTTAAATTGCATCTTTAAAATGTCAAGTGAGATTGCATCATTTGATAAATTCGGCTATCATGTTGAAAGGTAGCTTTCTTTTTTAATCAAACGTGCTTCATTTGTCTAGGGCTTTTAAGGACATATGATTTGCATTGTCTTTTATGATATTTAAATATTCTGCAACACTATGAGTGCTTCAGAATTAAAATAAAAATTTCATGTAATACTCCCTAAGCATTTGTTCACTACAAGAATTATGCCAAAGGTAAATGAGTAACGAAGCCATTGTAAAGCATTCAGCCTCGGTCCCTTTTCCCTCTCACGATGCTCTTTTGGCAATGGGGTAAGGTACAACAAACACACATGCAAACAAACCTCTTAAATCTTTTATAGAAGAAGGGAAAAGCAATACTAAGTAATCCAAAACACTAACTCTCTGCTCCACTTACATCATCTGTATTTACTTTATATATAACATCAGAAAAATAATTTTAGAAGAAAGAGCGTGCTTGTCATAAAGTGATGTGTGCAGGTAATGAGAAAACAAGGACCCTTTTTGTCAGAGCTCTCCATTAACAGGAATAAAATACCCTATTGCATAGCACAGCAGACTCTTCTGTCCAAAAAGTACAACCTATCAAAATGTCCCTCATAAATATTTGTGAGCACAGTACCAAAAGCATAAGAATAATTAAAATTAATTAAATAGAACTAATAGGCAGAGACCTCAGCGTTCAGTTTAGGCAGTCATCCCTCTTCCTGCTTCTGATCCTATCTATTTTATTTCTGTGACTTTTCAGATTTTTTCATGCTACTCTAATATTCTAGAATATATTGATAAAATCCCTGTAAATGAACCACAGTATTGTAGGAATAAGCCTACCAAGCCCTTTTGGTCTTTCACCTTTGTTAGAAATGAAACTTGGCAAGGGTCCTACACAGAAAGCCTCCCCAGTGCCATCATTCTGTCTTTAAGGCTATCTCCCTTCTGATTATATCATTTTATAGCCCAGCCACTTTCCAGCATCTTTCCTTATAGAAACTCCATCATTTTCTCCAGGTAAAAATATATCAGGCTTTTTTTTTTTCTGCTCTAGATGATCTGTATTTCACGTGGTACCAAATGATTTTTTTATTAGTTTTTGTTTCTCTCTTCAGGTTGTTTCCCCAAGAAAAGCTAATTCTTTTCTGCATAGTTGCATTTTGATTAGTTTTGCTGACTTCTTCCTTTACATTTAATTTAGGTTAGAGTCTTTATCCTTGGCATACCAGAAGTGAGTGAAATTATAGCGGCTCAGTGCCTGAGAACACACATCCTGAAGGTACTTCTGGTAGATCTGAGGTCTGGTTTTAATTTTTTTTCAGCCCACAGTTGTTCCATACTGGTTACCAACCCACCTGTAAGGTCACATTGCCCGGGAGCAAGTCTATTTTCCCAGTTAGCGTTCTTGCAGGGACATCGCCTCACTACCTGCTCTTGCATTTCCTCCTGGATATTCTTATAGCAAAATTATTTACCTGCAGTTCCCCCACTCTCTTCCCTCAGTGGAAATTTTCTTACAGCAGGATCCAATTCTCAAATGTGTGCCTTTTATAGAGGAGGTAAAATAGAATCTTTGGAAAGTGATTTTACTGAGACTTTAATGCAGTCAGGGCATTCTGTGTAACCCCTGGCTCTAACAGTTCCAGCTGGCAGGCTCCTGGGACAAAAGCAAAAATGAAAATCTTTGTGCATTCCCAACATTTATTTGAGTTATTCTTCCAAAACCAAAGCTCGCTGGGGTTGGAGTTGCCACTGGGAGGGTAAACAATTGCTCACTGACCTATCAGCAAATCAATCTACATGGACTTTCTACCAAACTCATAGCTCTCTTCTACTTTTGTACTAACTTCGTAATTTCAAATAGTCTCCAGTTATTCTGTTTCCAATAATTAGGAAGTAGATGTTGATAGCATGACCAAATCTATTATTATGGCATATTTCCAAGATAAAACAGAGCCAATAATCTGTTCTTTATCATTAAGTATCAAGGATCTAAAAACTTCCGGAAAGAACATGCATCATCACCAACCTTCGCACAAACAGAGCACGCCCACACTGCTGTGCTGCAGAAAAACACACCCCTCCTCCCAGCTACCGCAAGGTTGGATGGGGCAAGCGTCTTGCAACACCGGAAGCGTAAGCAATATGTGAAAATACAGGCTGGCATTGGTGTCAGTCCCCTTTCCACCCCATATTTTTTCCTTTTTTTGACACTAGGAAAGCTTGG